TTTGGCGGAAAAGACGTAGAGATTTTAAAAACAACCGAAAGTCCTTATGCTTGTGATTTGCACGGATCCGTCATGATGTATGTATATTGCAACATTGTACAACCGCAAGTTGTTGGAGACGTCAATGTAAAATTACTAAAGGCAGTTGCTATTCAAGGAAAATATGGAGACATTGTTTCAAGAACATTCACTAATATCCAATACTTACCCGTGCAAACAAAATCTTTTGAGGACATCGAAATTCTCTTAAGGGACGAGTTAGGAAATCCCATCGCATTTGAACGAGGGAAGTCGATAGTGACACTTCATTTCAGAAAACAATCCTTATCTTATTTTACATAAGAAAAAAATATGAGTAGAACAAACCGTTATGTTCAATATTATCTCGATCAGCAAAAAGGATACGGATCACAACCTGTCTTTAGAGGAGCATCCTGGCAAAAAGGTTATGGGCAGATGGGTTATGGTCTTGGTGGTTTATTTCGTAGATTGGCTAGAGCTGCAATACCTTTGGCAAAAACCGGCGCAAAAGCTCTAGGTAAAATTGCCCTCGATACAGGTGCAAACGTTTTGGGTGATGTTATCTCAGGGAAAAGTTTTAAAAAGTCTGCAAAATCTCGTGTTAATCAAGCAGCAAAAGAAACAGGGAAAAAAGCTGTAAATCGTATACAACAGTTTGCTCAAACAGGAAGAGGAAAACCCCAGAAGAAACAGGCAAAAAACAGCTAAAAGAGAAAAGCATCGTCTTCTCATGTCATTTACCATTCAGCCAAGAGACATAAAGCAGCTAAAGAAGCAGAAGATATTTTCGGTTAAATATGGAGTTCGTTCATCCAAAATCAGCAGAATGTACAAAAGTGAACTTGACATATTTTTCGTACCCCAACGCAAACCAGTTTGGAAAGGGGCGATGGATAGACCATCCACCTGTCTCTAGTGTATCTGAAAGCGGTCCGATTACCTTTTAGCGCCAGGTACAGAAGATTATGTTGACTTGTCTAACACAATGTTGATGGTCAGAGCAAAAGTAACGAAAGCTGACGGTGGAAATCTCGACGATGGCGCTAAAGTAGGACCGGTGAACAATTTCTTGCATAGTTTGTTTAAGCAAGTTGATGTGTTTTGAAAGGGAAGCTAGTAACCCAAGCGACAGGAACTTATCCTTATCGTGCATATATCGATACACTTTTGAATTATGGTCCATCAGCTAAACAATCCCAGCTGACAGCTGCGTTGTTTTACAAGGACGAAGCTTCAAAAATGGAGGTTGCCGACCCAGCAAACGCCAGTCCAAACAATGGCTTGAAAACACGAAGTAAGTTTAGTGCGAGAAGTGCAATTGTCGAAATGGGAGGCCCTATATTTTGTGATGTTTTCTTCGGTGAACGCCTGCTGCTTAGCTATGTTGATTTGAAAGTGGTATTGAACCGTACCAGTGACGAGTTTGCCCTAATGGCATCCGAGGACGATGCAGCATTTAAAGTGAAACTGGTGGATGTTTATCTAAAAGTTCGCAAAGTTAAAGTGAATCCTAGTAGAGCTATGTCTCACGAAGTTGCACTGAAAAAAAAAGCCCAGCCGTTTACCCTGTAAGGCGTGTGGACTGCAAAAGTTTCATCATTCCATCAGGAAACCCATCGTTGCAAAAAAGATAATCTTTTCAACGGTTTGGTACCGAAATCACTTGTCGTCGGGCTTGTTGCAAGTGCTGCATTCAATGGTGCTTATAAATTAAACCCATTCAATTTCCAGCATTTCAACGTTTCATCCTTAGGCATTTCTGTAAACGGTGAATCTCTACCATCTAAACCTTTCAAGCTGTCGTTTGGTAACAATCCTAGATACATAGAAGCATTTCTATCACAATTTGCTGGCACTGGAAAAATGTTTTTGAACGCCGGAAATGGAATTGATCGTGACGAGTTTCTAAAGGGTTTTGCTTTGTACTGTTTTGATTTGACGCCTGATATGTGTGGTACGGGAGAACATTTTAATACAGTGCAAAAAGGAAATCTTGCCATTGACATACAATTCTCAACAGCACCAACTAATGCTGTTAGTCTTGTGTGCTATGGCGAGTTTGAAAACGTGATCTTTATCGATTCTGAGAGGAATGTTGTCTATGACTACATCGGTTGAATGAACACCTCACAAATATCGTCTGCTTTGAGATCGGATCCTGTTACAAGCAAGAAATTTCTTGGTGTTTTTCCAGCCAATCGTTTACCTAAAGTAATCAAAAGTTATCCGAATGGGTTTATAGCAAACACCGATATCAGCGGAAAACCTGGAAGTCATTGGGTTGCATTTTACTTTCCGTCTGAACGAAAAGCCGAATTCTTCGACAGCTATGGCCAGTCGCCTGAGACTTATCATAAATTCTTTAGAGACTATTTGAAACATTATGATTGGGATTTTAATGCACGCAAATTACAAAGTATTTGGACCGATGTATGTGGACAATATTGTATATTTTACCTAAGCCAAAGAGTGCGAGGTCATAGTATGAGTAGAATTGTAAGCATGTTTGATGGTAATACTGTTGAAAACGATAAGAAGGTATCGAATTTTGTAAACAAACATTTTCAAATAGAAACTAGTGTAATCCCTAACGACGGAAATCAGTCAAGTACAAACTTATTTGTAAAAGATTGAAGTGTTTAATAATCAATAAAAAAGTTCTTTGTGTGACTTAATTGCTTGCATTTTGTATTTACATATTTTCATTGACAACAAGGAGGAAAATGATATCAACTGCGATTTTTATTTAAAGAAAAAATCCTTTACAAGACATATTAATAGCTTAACCAACGTAATTGAGTTTTCTTGTGTGTAGTGGAAGCTTTGGGCGTTATGAATTTCGTTTTGATGAACTAGGATAAACTGTTTCGTTTTCTTCATGTGGTGAAGTTTCCATTTGAGCCTCCTTCCATCTCATATCGTTCCTAACCAAATCTCGAGGAATGTTTATTTTGATAAAACACGAAAGAATTCTTTAGACCCTTTAGGATTGAAATTTTCCTTCCTCTCACAGCATCGCTAATTAGATCTGTTATGTTTGATTGCGGAATGGTGACTCCCTCAAGTTTGACTTGTCCAGAACCGTCCCAAGATATTATACTTGGCTGTGTTCTAAGGCGCTGCAATATTGCTTTCGCCCGCTCACGCATAGTTTTGGCACACTTTGTACAATGACAGAGTCAGCTAATGTCTGATTTTCGTTGTCACTTATTATGTTTTTTTCATTCCCATCAAGGGTGTCTACCACGCGTACCATGGGTATCTGATTATCTTTCTGTTGCTTCAATTTAAGGAATTGTTCAAAGTTTGCGTTAAAAAGTTTTTGTCTTTGATCGTCACTCATATCGTCTTGTTGAAGAATATGTGAGAGCTGCGAGTCTTTATTCATCATATTCATCATGATCGGACTAGTTTCAAGTTTTGTTGTTTTCGTATCTGTTAAATACATCTTCAGGTACAAGAATCATACGCTTGGCATGCTTCATTTTGTCAACAAACTACCTAGCACTGTCAAAACCGGAGGTAGTAACGCAGTCAGCAGATTTCCTCCTTTTTGATTTAAAAGTTTTTTCTTCTTTGCTCGTGAGATTTTTTTGTTAGCTAGTGCTCTCAGATGTTTCTTGTACCTTGACAACACTCGCTTTTGACTGGCAGATACTGGAACAGTTCCTTTTAAAACATTGATAGCACATTCACATATGCACACAATAATGTCGGAGGGTCCATGCTCAATTATCACCTTTCGAACTTTTGGTTTAGATTTTGCGAGTACTTGCAAATACGGAAGATTGTTCCTAATTCGCTTAGACATAGTGCTTAAATGATTGTTCATGTCGATTATTATCGCTTTTGTACATACACAATGTGCTTTTCATCAGGCAGGATATTTGTTCTGACACGCATATTGTCAGGTGTTAATTGATGTAAATCGAGCATGAGGTAGCCGTATGCACGACTCGTAGCGTCTTGAAACGACTCCAAAATGTAGTTGACATTTTTAGGGTACATTTGACGGGCCAAAGTTGAAATACCTAGAGAATCTCTCGGGTTTTTAAAAATAATCATATAATGAGAGTTAAGGCTTATCGTTCTTGATTGTTTACCCGGAGGGAATAAATTTTGCGTTAAATACATGACAGATATCCCTCGATGATGTGACCCACGGGTGAATAAATCAGACATTCGTGGATCATTAGAACATTCTGACATAAGATCGTCTACAATGACTAAAGAGTTTTGACATCCTTCCAAAATATTGGTCAAATTGTCAGGGAACCCTTCCACAAAAATTACATTCGGTATCCTTTTAACCATTTCGTCAAACTCCATCTGAGGTTCGCCATAGCAGTAAATGATTTTACTTGGAACTGGGTGAAACAGCTCATTCAAATTATAAAGCATTGACCTAACGAGATGACTCTTACCAGATTGGCTTTGCCCGCAAATGTAAAAGTTAGCTGGTGTTTTAAAACGCACGTCCATTGTCTTGCAAATGAAAACAGAAATGTTTTACAACAGACTATATACCATCATGCATATATCAATTAAATATACTCTATAAACAAGTTAAATACTTAATCATCAAGAAGATGATTGGATGTTCGACTCTAAAACACTGAGCACATAAGCAATCGCAAACATTTTCTTTCATTAGTTGATTAGTTAATCATGTCGTTCACATGGCAAGACGTTGTGAAAAGTTGGGTTTCTTCAACTCAAGGAAGCAATAGTCAACATTGTATAACAGACTTGATAAGGCATTTGGCATATGCCAATATTATTCCAACAAGAATTATGAACAGTCAAGGCCTTCATATCATTCTATTGGCACAAATAATGTTAGAAACCTTGGATCGTGTCTCAGTACCAAAAGCGATGCAACATCCAACATACTTCGTTTATCGTGCAAATGCAAAAGAAGTAATGGTCCACGACCTTCAAGATAGAATTGCGAAAAATATCAAACAATTGGAGAATGATGAGGGTGTAAATATTCATCATTATTATAAATTGAACATTGAAAATATGATGGACATGGATTAACTACTTTTTAAATGTTCTTTGAAAATATTAATACGGTGTCAATCAGCGTTAAATTAATAATTACTATTAAACCTTCGATAAAAAGAAACGTTATTTTCATCTTCAGACATTTCAATGTCATTTATAAATGTTTTATCATATTCGTTCTCTGATTCAAAATCCATATCTTCCTCGTCGTCAGTTTCCAATAAACTAATATCGTTTGCGTTTTCTTCATTCTCAAAAATCATGTCACCGTCATCACCATCCTTAACAATATACTTATACACTAAAACGTCTTCCATTTCTTCATCACTACATGTCCCAACGTTAGCTTTGTCATCAACACAGCTATGATTTACTCTACACCCTAGTGCCGTGGGCTGTACCATTGTATAAAGCATTGAATCTGGAAGACGTATAATGGGCTTTACAGACGGACTAGCAGAGTTAGACGCTGGTGACCAATAATATCCGTAAGGTATTGTGTCTTCACCAGAGTTGACAATTATTCTTTTGTCGTAGACGATCTGATATTGCTTTACTTCTTTCTTGTTGACAAGCCGACGGGTCCGTTTTTCTCGTGTTATTTTACTGTTATTTGCAACATCTATTTTATTTTTCTTATTTTCGTCATCTGAACGTACATAGTTAATATCATTTCATACAAAGAATCAAAATTAAGAATTTGGCTATTTTTAAAATTCAAAGTAAAACCTCGTATCTTACAATGTTTTTTTCCCATTATTTACAACGTACGCGTAATTTTTTGGACCCCCACATGCAAATCTTGTAATGTAACTACCTACCCCATGTTCTTGAGTGATTTCGTTTGTTAAATTACCCAGGTAATCCCCTAAGAGTGGCCTTGGAACCCCCGGTTTATTTACATAAATACAACTATCTGTATCGCAATATAAAAGGCTATCTTGTACCTTTTCTTATAGTACTTTACCCCCTACAGAGATCATCATTGCGCATGTCATGATGTAATAAGCAAAAAAAATAGTTTTGAAATTTAAATTCATACATAGATTATATTGTAAACACATCAAGATTATATGGAATTTAAAGTTTTAAAGTTTGTAAATTATGCCTTTGGACATCAGTTTTCTTCATCATCGGATGAATTCTCCACAATTATTTTGGAGCGCTTTGATTCTTCAGCTTTTGGTACCTTAGTGCTCGACTCTCTTTTGGGCGCTGATGGTTTTTTAGTTTTTCCAATGCCTTTCATAGATTCGTCAGCCCAATGAAAGAGTGAACATTTCTTTTCACTTGCCATATACTTGCAACGAAAGTAGGGTCGGCCAGGATTGTTGGCCGAGTTCGATACCCACAGACATGCAAACACTTGGCACTCGCAGAGTGGAAAACGGTTCGGCTTGAATTCCTTCAGTACATTCTTATCGTACACGTCTATAAGCTGCAAGTACTTTTCTTCGGGCGTGAATAAATTACATTTTTCTTTGGCGTACTTTAGAAAGACGCGGCCCTCGTTGGAAGTAAAACGTTTCAGACCGCCGTTTTTGCAAAAGCATCTGTGCTTCTCAATAGAAACCATTTTCTTCCTTGGTTCTTTTTTTCTATCTCTGGCTGCAAAACGTTTGTCGAATTAATGCATATGATCTGCAGTGCTTGAGTTTTTATAATGTCCCAATGACTCCATTTTTTTGTCGGCTTTTTTTCAATTATTTGATTAAGGCTTCTTTTAATCATATTTCCGTCAAAATTTTTTTTCCCATGAAAATACCAAAATAGTAATCCTACAGTTTCATAAATATGTGGACTCTAGCTGTGCTAGCCGGTAATAATTAACTCAAGGATTAAGTTTTGTCTACATTTTTTTTAATTGTTTGATTAAGGCTTCTTTTAATCATATTTCCATCAAAATCCTTTCTCCTTATTAACGATACGAAAATAGGAATTATTTAACTTTGCAATGCGCAGGTTCTGGCTGTGTTTAAGATTTTGTCCACACGTAGCCGGGTATTTTTCAAAAAACGAGGTATTTTTCTCTGTTTTGTCCTCAGATCCATACAAAACGATTATAATTACCTCAAGGATTAAGTTTTGTCTACATTTTTTTTTAATTGTTTGACTAAGGCTTCTTTTAATCATATTTCCGTCAAAATTTTTTCCCATGAAAATACCAAAATAGTAATCCTACAGTTTCATAAATATGTGGACTCTAGCTGTGCTAGCCGGTAATAATTAACTCAAGGATTAAGTTTTGTCTACATTTTTTTTAATTGTTTGATTAAGGCTTCTTTTAATCATATTTCCATCAAAATTCTTTCTCAACACGAATGATGAAAAATTTCTTATTGCTTGTTTTCATAGTATAATGACAAGTTAAAAATTGCAGAGATAATAATTGTTAAGACTCATAGTTATAATTTTTAAGACAGTTATGATACATAATATTTTTTCCAAACCAAAACTAACAATGACTTTGCACGTTATTTCACAATCTTAATTGGAGGTGTTTGAAATACATCAGGCCTGCATACATACGAGTTAATTTACTGTTTTAATACTTTAATGCCTTCATTCAATCTGAAACGCACGCTTGCCAAGGAAATAATCGATCCATTGGAAAATTACTGCTAACAAAAGAGCCTATGTCAATAATGTGCATGTAAAAGGACTCACGCCAAAGTCTTAGGCAAAAATCATCAGTCAACGGCGAAGGCAAAGAGAGCAAAGAGAAACAACAGATAGAGGAATGGCTACATCTCAAACAATTCGACCCATTTTGAGTAAGTTGAATTGGAATACAATTTCAATGTTAGATTTGACTTTAGAAAATTTAAGTTGTGATTTTGTTCATTGTTTTAGGCCAATGTGAACACTGCAAACTATGGGTGATCTGTCCACCGAGCTGCGGGCATAAAATTCATTTATCTTTAGTAGAGGAGAGGCTTGTGGAGTGCTTGCCATTTCAATGTCCCAATGCTTGTAAGTCAAATAATTAATATGCTTGCTGAATGTTGTAGTCGTGTTTTTTTTATGTAATGTCCCTTCCGTTATACTCTAGATGTTTTGACGAAGAAGTCGACAGATTTCTGGAAGATTTTTTTGAGTATGTATTTTTATAATTCTTTATCTTTTGAAAATTGATACAGTAGAACAGTCAGTAAGATTGATTTCTTTTTATTTCAGAGTGATCGTTGCTAGTTTTTTCCAATAAAATAAAAATGTTTTATTTCAATAAAATTTATTTAAGAATATCAACGTCTCATGTTCTAATTTGTTCTTTTTTTCTGTCAAAAATATTTTTCTCCAATCATTGCAAGTGTACTTGATAAGTTCTAGCCCATTTACTATCGGAGTCATGTCTTGTAAACTATCAAAGAAGGATTTCATGACTTTTTCCTCATCAATTTTTGATACTGCATCTTCAAAGTAAATCGCTACCCTTTCATCATTAGGCATCATCAAGCATTCATGGCGCTTTTGTGAGGGGTGTTGAACGCGACAACCGTCACAGTCTTTTGCCACAAGTTCATATATTTTAAAACCAATTTCAGTAGCATAGCACTTCAACAATTTATTCTGTATATTGCTTTGGCGTTCATATAAAACATGGCTCTCATCTTCAAATTCGAAGGACGATTCCTTCACTTTCTTTGCTTGCTCAATGTCTACTTTTAAAGCCATTTTCGTTTTAGTAAGACAAAAATTACCAAATAACTTTAACTCAATAAAATTGTAACGTGTTCTCCTTTTTTATATTTGCAAAGGAAACAAGAAAACGGATCTAATATTGCTTTAAGAATAGAAAACAATTGACAAATTTAATTAAGTTTTATCGTGTTTCAATTAATCATGTCATCCAATAGCAACCTTCGTTCATTTTATATCGTTTCCGGTTTACACGCGCGCGCCCTGTTTACTTCCTAGGACTGGAAACTAATTGACACGGGTAAGAGCTCCGTTTACTTCCGGGACCATACCTGCACCTTAACTACTCATGTCATCCAGTAGCAACCTTCGTTCATTTTACGTGTTTCCGGTTTACACGCGCGCGCCCTGTTTAATTCCTAGGACTTGAAACTAATTGACACGGGTAAGAGCTCCGTTTACTTCCGGGACCATACCTGCACCTTAACTGCTTGCCGGTGCCGAAACTTATGTTCAATTCAAATTAGCGAATGTTTTTTATCTTCAACAATATCTATCTCTTCATTTTCAGAAAAATGTAATCGCTGTCGTGATTTTTATACGACGGTTAAATGTGGTCACACAGTTCATCTGTCCCCATTAACAGAGTCACGGGGAAAATTCAAATGCGAAATTTGTAGGTTACTATGCCGTTAAAGATATTTTAACCTCAGGTTGCGTTTCATGTCATTGATTTTCACTCTTCATTCATGTAGTGTATCGGACGCACGTGTAAATATTGCTTTTCGTTAATTTTTGATGTAAGTTTGTAATTCATGGCTGCGTTTATACCTTACTGTGTGCTATTATATAAAGTTTAAATATATGTTTGAGGTATAAACTGTCATACGAAAGCAGCAATTTTATATAGTGGTTCTTATTTCATTCATTCAGAAAACTGTGTACCGATGGCGTCATGTTTGATGAACAACATTGACAGTAAAGATGCTCAGATTTGAATGTAAAAGTAGCTTAGATTACAAATGAAAAATTTCCTTCCAATATTGGGCTTGAGGAGCGCAAAAAAATAATTGAAAAGCCACCGCAAAATTGCGACAAACTTACTGTGCCCAAACTCAATGAGCTTATATGGTCAAGCCTTAAAAATTTCCATCGTCAGCGAGATTTGCACACCGCAGTTCTACAAGATTCTAGTGTGTGTGTGACAAGTTCTCTCTCAGTTACTGTCAATGACCAATTAAAATGCTGGGAGACAAAGTCTTGCCGGACTTTCGCGCCATTACGACTACGCTCTTTGATGCCGTTACCTTATTAGTGCATGTAAATTTTAGAGCTGTCATACAAGCGTAGGCCCATCCATATTTTTTCAGATCCCCTCTCCTCCACTCTAACCATTGTACCAATACTCGTGCTCTAAATACTGGTCAATTCATGTGCAGTACTCTATCTCCTACAGTTCCTGCACTCCTCGCTAATGACTAATAGAATTTTATTTAAACTTCGATTTAAGGTAAGTCTCGTTTAATTTCCAATTGGTAACAAAGTGAGACACCTAAGGATCACACACTTGAATGATCAAAGCATGACCTTAAGATGGACTATGTTTTTAAAATTACTACCAAATAATTGTCAGATGACAAGGATTGTTTCGGCCAAATTTGGTCTTAACAATGTTTTTTGTTGTGCGGCTACATTGTAATGAATGAAAGTGTCCCACTTTGCTCGAGGTTACGCTAAGATATGACGGGAAAAATGACAAAAGTGTTTTATGGCTAATGACGAATCACGGTTTTCTAATATGTCTCATCAAAAACAATTAATAAATGTTGATGTAAATGACAAGTTTTAGCTCTAGAAGCTGGATTTGTTTGTATACGATTCAAAAATAAAGTTTGAAATATTAATTGCAATTCTAAGAAAAATACCAACGTTTACCAATACAAAGGAAGATAAAGAAACAAAAACTCAAATTAAAGTGTTGAGGAACGAGTTTCGCTAATCGGAGCGCACATCGTCATCTTTGACAGATAAGCAGTTTATAAGCAGACATGTTAAAATAGTCTTATCACTTCAGCACTTTCAGTTGGTCCGCAAGCTTTGCTTTCATTATTTTAATCTACAGCTTGGATCGTGAAATGAGACACCGACGTTAGAGCTCTACGGTTATAAACGTATTTTTTTTTTTGTCAAATTCAATTTCGGTCTATTCCCTTATGCAGTGAACGATTCTGACGATGAACATTTGATTGAAACTCAAAAAAGAGCCGATCACCAACCATTTGTTGGAGTGATTTTTAATTTAATAAGCATGCATAAATATTGCACACAAAAAACAAACTTTGTTTCTTAGAATCTAGCTTGGAAATGTTTGAAATACAAATACTTCATCGAAATTTCAAATCAGAACATGGTCAAACCATGTTTTAACAATTATAGCTACTTAGCTACGAACAATCACCCATAAACCAGAAAAACAGCAAAGTTAATTCTCGCTACCTTTGGCAATCTTTGTTGTGTATTTACAATACTAAATACACGACGATAACAACAAATGGCGAAAGAATAAATTGACCCGCATTGTCAAAACCTTAGAAAGGGAAAATATATAACAGGTGCATCTAACTTCGAATCCTACCTTCCCTGTCAGCCAGCGAGAAGTTCTACAACGACCAAGATACGTTTTGAAATATTCCCCATTCCCACTTTCACATTCTATAAATTTAACGCAACATTATAGGAAGCTCATAATCACATCGAAAAAGAAAAAAACCAACTGCCTAACCATAGCTCAATATATGCCTTCTTGTATTCATCACAGGTTACTCAACTTTTCACTTCTTGCACGTTAAATACAACGACAGTTGCATATATTTTTTTCAACAGTACTGGCGACGAAACCATCGTAACAGTTGCATGTGATCTTATATTAAATTAGGCTTCAAACGCAGACCAAGAACTGTCAATGGTGATGAAGGTAGATAATCAAAATGATAACAAGTGCTCAGTCCTCTATTTCCCAACAAACGTTTCTGAAATGCATAATTCAAATAGATGTAGTTTAAATAAATTAATGAAGAGAGAGAAATGTATGTTGTGGGCATCTGACAAACCTTCTTCAACTGAGCTATCAAACTCAATAAATCGCAGTCCATTATTTTCTTTATGCTTCTCACACAACTGATATTACTTGCCGTTCTATCATATTCATCATTTAAAGAAATAAGCCAACCACAATAAAGTGGTTTGAGTTATTCCCATTAACTAAAAATCGTATGATAAAACATCAGTAAATAGTTGTTTCTATGTTTGTTGTTCCGCGCAACTTCGACGTACGTAGCTAATGGAATCGACTATTGAGCAGGATCAGATACTAATCCGATGAAATACAAAACAGGAATAATACAATTAGAAAATAAAAAGCCACTGGAAAATTTAAAATTTGCAGTAATACCTTGCATGAATATGTACGGGGATTAACTCAAATCCATACAAAATGCTAAAGATCTTTTAACACCAGTTAAATTGCTTGTTTTCCAGTTGTTACTTCTTCCGCCCGCATCCAACCAGTTCCGATGGCATACAACCAGTTTTGTCGATTGATGCATGAAGACAAATGCAATTATTCATCATCAAATCTCAAATAGGTCTTGAGAACAAAACAATTTTAGGAAAATATGACGTAGATAGATTCTTGTGCTGCATGGCAATGACACTCCACGTAACGACGATTAATAACATAGCCAGGGGTACCAAACATCTCTAAACAATGACATCTGAAGAAACCCCGGAAAGATCTGCCATTTCATTTTGGAAAGCTGCTATCGTTCTCTGACGATGATATCAACCATTTTTTCTGCAATAGGCACATACCACATATTAATTTCTTGGGTAAACCAATAATAAAGCTTTCGTATGTAATACATTCTTGATGATTACCAAAACATTTATTACATAAAAAGACCAAGCGGAGAAACAAACTTTATTAGATGATCATCATGCCTCAAGCACAAAGTTAGATATATTATTTCTACTAACCACTCACCAATTATTTATTCCATTTTGTCTTCGCGACTCTTCATAATTAACATGTTTGCTTGTTTCTTCGTTTTGAAAGAACTTAGCGGCTTGAAATGTAATAAGTACTAAATAAGATAATACAAAAAAAATATTCATTTGTGGTTGCAATAAGGCCAATTGTTGCGACTGTAATCTTTGTTGGTGAAATTTTTGTCTGCATGAAATGTACTGGGATAGTTTCTTTACAACTGTCTGTTATACCTCAATACACGGTCTGACATTTCTAAAATCTAAACCATACTTTGTCTCACCTCACTACCAACTCACCCCACATCAACTTATACGTAGCACAAACCCAATAAAAATTATGAAAATCAGTCCATGTAGCAAATTGACACAAAATTTTACAAGTTCTTGTTTCTATATCGCTGGATTATTATTGAGGGCTATGAAGGCAATGGATCATTAAAAAAGAAATTTTTAACATAATATTGTGTGCATAAGTTAAACGAATATTTATTCTTCATTTTCTTGTGGATTATTCAGAAAGTGTTCACTCATTTTAATTAAATCCTTTGTCTAGCAAATATTGTTACCTTGTGGAATTGCCGTTCAAACTTTCTTTGAATAGTGTCCTTGCAGCTATGGAAATGATTTACTCTACTTCCAATTTACTTGAAACTAATTTAAAAGTGTTTGAATTAGACTACTCCTACTAAAAGTCAATGTTATATATATGCTAATGACATTCTAAACTAGATTTGTGAAGCAAGGGAGGTTGTTCAAGATAACCGTTTAGTTGGTGTGGTATGTTAATCTTATAGAAATAAAAATTCATTTCAAATTTGCCACATAAGATTTGGTCATTGCCAAACGAACAGGTTGCTAAAGTCGAATTCGTCCACAAGCTTTTTTCCAGCAATTTTTAATTTAAATGTGCATTTCCTTCTTAGACTAAATCAGCTTTTTCTGTTTTCAAACATTACACTCTGAACAACATGAAAATAACAAATTTTATGAAGAACATGAAAAATTTGCTGTGCACATAAACAGATAGACTTCAATTTTGTTCAAATCAATTCCATAAGTTCAAATAAATATTAAAAAAAAATTGATATGTTATCTACCACTTGGGAGGTCTGTTTAAAAAAAAAATTTAGGTCTCAAAAGCCACTTCAGGATGAAGGCCAAGGAAAATTTTTCAGTAAGGACCCTTGAACAATTTACATGGCTTTTAAATCAATTGTACAAATTTTAATTTCAATTTGCAAACAAATTTATTGCAAAAAAAAATAACAGTATTTGACCACAATCAAGATATTTTATAGAGCTGCCCGCTGTGCCAGCCAATCAGACTTCACATAATCAAAAATATCACTATGCATGTGTACAAAAAATAAATGTGGAAACCAATGACTTCATGATCAATCTCTTATAACAAATTTATAGCCAACTAAGTGCAGTATGTGGCTGTACGAAACAGTCTTTAAGTATAAATAATATGATACTATAATACAGTGGGCTTTCAAGTACAACTTTAAACACATGACAAATGACAAATCACGACAGCCTTGGGAAATGCTCAGGAGTTCCATAAAAGGCCGACAACTGGCAATTTTTGCAAAATGCTTTCAATATTACCATGATGGGCAATTCTCAGAAACTGTGCCTGCACAGTAACACTTTTATGCTACCTGCATGTGTTATTATGTATGCTACTATGTCTATTATTTACCATTTCATGTATTTTTCACTACTTTGCCTTATCAATGTTCACCAAATGTGGCAATGGTCAAAAAGGCCCAAGGAAACATTAAGTTTTCTGTGTCATACACATTTGCTTTTGTATCTCAGAAAAGAATAGTGAAAACGTTTAAAAGCATTTGCTTTTGGATAAAGTTATCTCTGGGCACAAGAAATAATTGTAAGGTCTTAATTATTGTTTATGCCTAAAGCTGAGAATAACAATAGAATTACAGAGTAAATGTTGTCACACACATGCCGCCTACTTTCCTTAATTAGCTTGCCACTCTGAAAACTATTGAAACACCAAAATTACGAATATTGTAACAGGTTTTTGTGTTACATAAGTACTACTTAACTACACTAAAAGCAATTACAATCGAATATTATTTTCTTTTAAATATACTGCATGAAATACACAGTTCATGAACAAAATGAACACAATGATCCGATTATCCTTTGCAGTAGTTACAGATGATAGAATTTGTTCTCCATGGTAATTTGCTTATTAGTAAGAAAAGTCAAAACTTTCCTAAAGTTTTCTTGCTATATCAAGTCAAACACACACTTTGAAACATACAATTATAGAGTAATTGAGATATTTAGGGCGCCATCTTGTGATGAACGCGAGTATTTACTTTTCCAAATGGCTTGGATACTCGCATAATCGCTTTCGTCTCTTTCTGTTTATAACGATTAAAAAATTAATATAGCTCTGGGTCTATAAGCAGTTATCGTCAAGCATTGTCGTTTTCTAACACTCCTTCGAATTAACATCTGCTTTGGCCTTTTGCCTTACCATGTGCTCGATAAAATTTGATGAATTTACCTCATCTGTTGCTTTCAAAAGGAGCCCATCGCTCCTCACAATGATGTGGACTTGTTTTTCATTGAAAGTCTTTGACACGGTACCATTTTTTGTAACCTATACTGTTGTGTTTTCCCGATTTTACTCGAACAAGATTGAGGACAACTAACCAAGCCACAAGTCCACAACCTACAATAATGATGAGGAGAGATAGGGATGGGCTGATTCCGATTGAGGCCTAGTAACTAATGCCAAACACGTCCCGAAATTTGATATGTTGTTTCCAGTACCCTGTAAACATTACCATAACCAGCGGCATAACCACAGAATAGTGGCGTAACTGTATGAGCACAGTCAGTGGCTCAAGATGGTCAGAGCTACGGACATTCAAGCAATCAGGTTACAAGGGGTTTCCCTGAACGGTGTTAACAAAGGACATCGGATTCAGATCACTGGTAATTCTAAAATTGACGTGGGGTACTCACTGACATACACAGTTACTTTATAATAAGCGAGAGCATAGAGTTTTTACCAGCGAACGATTGAGAGCAATTTTCAATACGAACATAATAGCCCAACATAAGACTTTTAATGAAAAAACATACATAAGACTTTAGCCTAATAACCTTAGCTTTAGACTAATAGCCCAACATAAGACTTTTAAATGAAAAAACATACAACGAACTTTATATCACTGGTACACGTATCGGCATACTATATGGACTCCCTAAAATTCATAAATCCTCCATCCCTCTAAGACCAATCTTATCTAGTATTGACCACTACTCCTACAAGCTACCTAAATTCTTTATTCCTTTCCTTACACCAATCTCCGCCAGCTCCCATGTTATCAAGGACTCTTTCTCTTTTGTCCAAGATCTTTTACAAAGTGACATTAACGCCAATAACGTTGTGATGGCGTGCTTTGATGTTAAATCATTGTTCACCAACATCCCAGTTGATGAAACAATCGCCATAATAACTAATCACGTCTTCTCCAATAACACGTCCTTTCAAGGTCTTGACCGTTCACAATTCACTCAACTTCTCTCCCTCTCCGTCAAAAACTGTCATTTCTTCTTTAACGGCCAAGTTTATCAACAGATTGATGGTGTGGCTATGGGCAGCCCCCTAGGCCCACTATTTGCGAACATATTTATGGCCTTCAATGAGAATTCATGGCTTCACAACTGTCCCCCAACCTTCAAACCCCTTCTTTACCAACGTTACGTTGATGATTGCTTTCTACTCTTCCGATCATTGGATCACATACCTCTTTTCCTTACCTATCTCAACCATCAACATCCTAACATTTCCTTTACATCTGAACTGGAAAAAGACAACACGCTCCCCTTTCTTGACGTAAAAATAACTCGCTCAAACGGCAAGTTTTCCACCTCTGTGTGTCGTAAACCCACTTTCACTGGTCTCTTCACCAATTTCCATAGTTTCATTCCCATTCAATACAAACGCTCATTGATCTCCTCTTTACTTCACAGAATTTTCAACCTCTGTTCCAGCTATGAACACTTTCATACCGAACTAGAAGTTGTTAGAAAATTGTTTACCTTAAACAACTTCCCTTCATACATATTTGACAATCATGTTCACCGCTTTCTCAACAATACATTTGAACCCAAAGATCTTATTCACACTGCTCCTAAGAAAATCATTTACTTCTGTCTCCCTTTCACTGGCCTACACTGTCTTCAGATTCGCACTCAAATCACTCGACTCTGCAATGCTGCCTTTCATCATATCAACGTTCGCTTTATTTTTCGTTCTTCCAGGCGTCTCTCCTCTTTCTTTCCTTTTAAAAATAGGGTTCCAAAGCTCCTGAGATCTGGTGTTGTATACTCATTTAAGTGTCGATGCTGCTCTGCATCGTTTGTGGGCCAAACCACGCGTCACTTACACACCAGAATATCAGAACACTTGGGAATCTCTCCCTTAACAGGGAAGCCTTCCTTATGTCCACCACCATCTGCAGTTCTTTCTCATATAAGAAATACATCTCACTCTGCTGATTTTAATGATTTCTCAATTCTCTCTTCCTCCTCCGACAATTATGACCTTATGATTCATGAAAGTCTTCTTATTTCCAAACTTAAACCCTCTCTTAACACCCAAGGCAACTCAATCCCCCTTCACTTTCTGTAATATACCGCCATTCTCACTTAAATCCGTCATCTAAACTTCCTACTCCCCTCACATGTAATTCAACACCCCGTAATATATGCTTGTATTTAAAACCTCGTGTATATAAATTAACTCATATAATCTGAAGATGTCTTAAGTTAAAGACGAAACGTTATTAATAAATCCTTCTCTATTTTATTATTGTGATGGCTTTTTTAAAAGTCTTATGTTGGGCTATTATGTTCATATTGAAAATTCACTTTCCGCCTGGCAAATCTCTGGCCACGATTTTAAATGAGAGCAATTTGATTTAAAATATTTTTCAAAATTCAAAACAATAAATTATGTAGGTAACAACAATATTGATTCTTTTTGACTTGCTTGTATTTAGGAAAATAATAAAAAATTATGTTTCATCTTCGCTGTTTTCTAAAAGTCTAAGTAAACTCTAATAGCTAGCTACACAGCAACATTCAACTGTGCCAGTAATAGCAGCAATACAGGCATGGCGCCTAAGGAGGGGTGGGGAGACCCCCACTTTCTCCCGGCTACCTTTATATTAACATTTATGTTTACCTTTCTGTCTACCTTCATGTATACTTTTGTGTTTAACTTTATGTCTTCCTTTATGTTTGGATTCAATCATTTCCGGTTTTTGTGGGTTGTTGATGGTAGATATACGACCAATAATTTCACCACAATTCCCCCCAGTATATTGAAATTTAATAGAGACGACAAGAACCACATTTCAAAAAAACGACTTGAATGACATTTCAAAAAGTTCTTGCCATACAACAATAACATGCGCAAAGTCTTGCAAGATCATGCATAATGGAAAGTGTATGCATGATCTTAGCAAGAAGCTTGTAGGATCATAGTAAGATCTTGGAACGATCATGAAAAAGTCTTGTAAGATCTGTTGTTAGCGTTTATTTATTTTAGTTTAACTTGAGGGAAATTAAGACCCAGTAACTTTAGTAAATATAAGTCGTATACGGACCCTCCCCCAGGCTCAATTTCGTTGCGCCGTCCCCGTAATAATTATTTTAATCTTCCCGCTCGTAAGTTACAGACCTTTGTGCTTGGATTATAAATCATGACCCATCTCAATTTCCAAATACAAAATGAATGAACCATTACCAGTAAGACAATGTCCAAAGTGTCCTAGAATTCGTTTCTACGCAATTGACTGTAAAATGGAAATTTACTTCATGATACTACTTCACAAAGCTGCTTACACATTACTTCTAAGACTTACTTACACTGTGTCATGAAATATAAATTTTTCATCCCTACCGTTGACTTATTGAACCATTCTAATATTACAATTTACAGATGGAGGAAGTTTCTCTCCTAATTCCATTGAAATAGGAAACTGTAAATTGTGAATGAGATACCATGCATCTGAAATTTCAAACCCTTCCCACAACAAACGTAAAATTCTATACACGCCTGACGCCTGTATGTTGTATCGGCCAATAGCATTGTCAAAATGATTTAAATCTTTTTTAACATTTTTCTATGTAGTGGCCACACATTTTTGCCATTATAAAACATCAATTTTAGGTCATAAATTTGGTTATAGATAAAAAGAGATTGGTAGATGGAAACATAAACTGAAAGAAGTTTCGGCTTTTTTATGCAGAGGTGGAACATCATTATATGCTATTGCCTTACTATAGTATAAAGACGACAAAGTTGACCAAGCACAACATTTTCTGAAACTTCTTTGAATGTAAATGAGAAGAGCCAATTTGAATGTGGTAGTCTTTTTATTGCTATTCAAAGTATGGTATTCGCTATTCAAAGCATGGTATACAGAATTGAGAAGACCATGAGCAGTTATTTTGTCAAAGCCCAATCATTTTCAAAAGAAATCAGAAGGGCATTACTAAATATGATGTGGCTTAAAATCTTTATTTTTATACTTTCATGAAAGACAGCCTCAACACATCGATAAAATTATAATCATGATATATCATTTACAAAAAAGCATTGAGGATTTAATGTTCGTTCATAATGATCACTCTATATGTATATATATATATACATGCTGTTCCCACTGATATTATAATATGGCTTAACTTGCGTTTTTGAAACTTAATGTTTTGCAGTATTGTTTATGAGCACATTGAAATAAATTGACAAACATTGCATTTTTAGTTTGGGACAATGCATTACTTGCTTTTGTTTCCAAAGTAGTAAATGATGTTATTGTTCTTATCATTTTTTCGCTTTTTCTAGCTCTTGGCTATTCATGAACATGAATTTGTTCAAGAAAATTGAACACATTTGAACAACTATCCCACCGTTACACTGATTTAATACATCAAGTCGATGCCTAGTCATATATAGGCCGTTGTTCGTGCCATACGATAGCATGAAAAGGGTCGTTGTATGTCGTGATAGTGACAAATAGTGCCATTCATTCTATAGATGAACAAGGCCATCGTATGTAGCTCGTCAATGTTGTGTGAGAGCGTAATCCAATGACAACAGAAAAAATTTCATATCAAATTCCGAAAAATAACTAGTTGCTGCATGTGTAAGACCAAAATCATCATAAAACAAAATGTTAAGGAAAAGAGTGCTGGATCACAATCCGAGTCAAGCAATTAAATGTATTTTTGTTAACATATATTTTTTGAAAACAGTACTTTATCAGTACAGAGGTTAACCGTCCATTAAACTGATTACTTTACTTGACAAAAATATTAACCTGACCTACTTTATCAAAGTCATACACAACAAAGCAAATGCCGAAAGGTGTAAAATCACGCAGCTTATCGAATCCACGCTTGCAGCCTATTTTTACAAAAAAAAAATTAAGTCAAAATAAAGATTGAAAATTTATACTTTTCCGTTATTGGAAACTTTCAATGCAAGTGTAAGTAAGAGATGATGACATTTACATTCAATATATCTTTTAACACTATAGACAAACACATATTACTTATATAAAGCATGAAATTTCAAAACAAAATGAAAACAATAAAACTTTCTTAGATTAAAAAAACACACTTAAACTAAACAGTAATAACTCTGATTTCAAATAAGAAATAAGCGAAAGAAA